TCACATCTAAGGACTTGGGTTCAATTCTTGGTTCTTTTAATGATCTCATTACTTCGGTAAGTGGCAATTTTTTGTTGCCTTAATTTCCTTGGTTGTAGGTGATGAGCCTTTTAAATTCCAGATTCTATTATTTTACGGCCTCCTTTTGGGTGTCCTGATGCTGCCTCAAACTTGGCATGCTCCAGACAGAATCAGCCATCTTTCCTTCCCAATTCCCTTATTTCTGCCAGTTACCCCTATTCTTTTGGGCCTCCAGGTATGAAATCTCGAGTAGTATTTATTTCTTCTCTGTCCTTCTTCTATTATGTCTGGTTTCATCATCAAATTCTGTCCATTTTTCCTTCAAAATTGCTTTCAGTATCTGCCTTTTCCTCTGTTCCCACCACCACCACCACTACCACCTCCACCACCACCACCATCATTACCTTGATGCAGGCCCTCCTCTTGCCTAAGATCCCTGTAACAGCCTTCAACAGTAGTAAGTCTTCCTGGTTCTTGTCTTTCCACCCTCCATCCCTCCTGTGTGTGGCTGCCAAGGATCCATGGTTTCTTTGGCATGACTATTCTTTCCATTGACACAGATTTTGAGCCCTCCAGTAAATAATATCCTCTGAGTTGCTATGGTAGAAAAGAAAAATTCCTCACCTGGCAACCAGGCCAGTGGTGGTGAATTTGTAATTGCTGCTACAGACTAATCTTCCTAAAAATGTGGTATGATGGGTTTTGAGTCAGAGGACCTGTGTTCAAATCCTACCTCCCCTGCCTATTAACTCTATAACCCCTGAGCAAATCACTTAATCTCTCTATGCCTCAGTTTTCTCAACTGTAAAATGAAAGAATTATACAAGATGCCTTATAAAGTCTCTTCCAGCTCTTAACCTTGATCTTGTGGTTCTAAAATACTGCTTTTATTTGTCATTCTCCAGCTCTAGGATTGGCAGTGGCTTCCTATTGTTTCTTCTATGAAGTCTATTCTGTGAAGTCTATGCTTTGGAAGGTTTTCCAGACCTTCCAAAATCAAATCCCACTCCTCTCTCCTAATCCAACCTTACTTATTTCCCACTATTCATCATCATGCCAATCCATTCCAGTAAAGCCCACCCCCTGCCCGACTCCTGTGTGCCCCATGCTGATTTTGACCCATGCCTCTCTCTGATCATGCTGGAACTACTTTCCCACTTTCATCTATCCAAACCCAAATCTTGCCTATTCTTTAAAGTGCACCTCAAGTCTGCTGTGATTACTCTGGTCCACATGGATCATGAACACCAACCTCATTGGGAACTGGAGCCTTTCATTCATTCATTCATTCATCCATCTATTTATTTATTTAATGTGTTTGTTTCACAGGTGTTATGCTTCTGAGTATTATATCACTTCAACTAAATCACAAACTCCTGGGCAGAGGGGACGTTGGCTAGCATTTCATGTCAGGTGTCGTAGGAAGAGCTTTGGGAGTTATGAGACTCATGTTCTAGTCCTGACATTGCCCTGAACTAGCTGTGAGACCTTAGAAAAGTTACACCCCTTCTTTGGGCCTTGTCTTCCACTTCTGTAAAATGTAGGGGTTATACAAGATAATAGGAACTGTAGGTTTAGAGCTGGAAAGGACCTTTTCTAAAATCCCTTCTGGTGATCTGGTGATTCTAGGTTCCTCCAGCTTCTAGTTCCAGGCACATAGTAGGCACTCAATGAACACTTGATGATCAATTTATTGTTGGCTGAGCTACCCCACCCTGAAGCCCTGCCCTGCCCTGCCCTGCTCTGTTCTGAGATCTGCTGATCTGACAATTCAAAGGAGCTTGGCTTCCGTAGGGAACAAATAGTTGCTGCTTACAGTCCAGTTGGCATCTGAATAGAGTCAGGTTTGCGTCCCAGATCATTTACACTCTGTTGTGGTCCAAAGGGGCTTATGTGATTGCTGTGTGATTGATGCTCTGGGAGCCATGAGGGCTGTTCCCTGGCCCCAAGCCTTTTACTCTTCAGCCTGACAACTGCCCAGACTCTTATGTCCTCTGTGCCTCATTCTCTGGTAATGAAGGCCCTGACTCATGGGCTAAACACACACACACACACACACAGAGTCATACATTCAACACATATGCATACTCATGCCCACACACACAGGCATAGTCACATAGTCAATACACACATGCACACACACATACACACACAGAGGGAAGCAGTTGTGGAAGGGTGCTGGAAGAATATTTATAGCAGCATTTTTGTTGAAGCAAAGAACAAATGTCTGGGAGTCAATCTACCAAGGCACTCTCAAGGCCTGCTTAGACACAAGAACAAAACACTGTAAAAAAAAATGAACACTTAACTAATTGGGGTGGGGGAGGAGATATTCAGTGCTTACGGATGGACCAGGCCAATATAATACAAATGGTAATACCACCTCAATTCATTTAGAGCTATACCAACTACCAAGGGAATGCTTTTTGGAGCTAGATAAGCTAATAACAAAATTCACGTATGGGGACAAAAGGTCTAAAATCTCAAGAAAAATAATGGGGGAAAAAGCAAAAGAGAAGAGGCCTCAAAGTGTATTCTGAAGCAGTAATCATTAAATTAAATCATTAAAAATTACAACAGTAGATTGGTGGAACAAGCTAGATGAGAAAGAATCAGAAACAATTGAACTCAATTCAGGGCTTGTTAAATCTATGATCATAAAATACTTGTGGAATTTTTACAAGGCTCACTGGGAAAACTGGAAAGCAGTCTGGCAGAAATTATGTTCAGAGACCCCAGATGGGAAATGCTCTTAGGTCCTCCTCAGGTGGATAAATTGGGGAGTTCTGCATACTTAGCCCCATGAGGATGAACCCCCTTGTAGCTGGTTCCCCAGTGGAGAGGGAGTGAATTTTATAAAAAAGGATGAGTTTAATAGACTGGATTTATGCTTTCTTCCCAATACCCCATTCCCTATAACCAGCCTGTTTCAGGTACAATTGGATCCTGCTTTTTGGGTGGAACCCTACCTGAACAGTATCAAGCTTAAGCTTCTGCTCTTCTCTGCCAAACCACCACCCAGGCCTAGACAGAACAACTGCTGAGGAATGAGTGGGGGATTGTCCACACAAATGGGGGAAGAGAAATCATCACCCCCATTTTGTGATTTAGGAAACTGAGATAAAAAGAGGTTAAGTGCCTTGACCATAGGCAGACAGCTAGTATGTGTCTGAGGCTGGATTTGAACTCAGGTCTCCCTGACTCCTGGATAGAATGAACTTTTAAAATTATTGCTCTCTCATCACACCTTTGATTATTGGGATACGTTTTCTGTCTGGCAGTGACTGGATCTTTGACAAATCCTAAGAAGGGGACAGGCTCTCAAGTCCAGAAGTTTCTCGGATCTGAGCTATAGCAAGACTCATTGATGATAGTTGACTTCTTTTGGACACAGTCTCAGTTTATCTTTCCTAGTCCTTCCTTATTCTGTTCCATGTATGAAGTTACTCAGGCCTTGAGGTTTCTATAGAGCCTAAGGAAACAGTTGAACTGTTACTTAATTATCAAACCTACTTGCCCCTTGGTGATTCAAACAACTTTTTCTTAGAAACACTTTGGACGTCCAAAGAGTGGAATTATTGGGAGGTGCTTTACTTTTTAATAATTTGGAGAACAATAATAATCTTTTTATAATAATCATATAATCATAATAATTTATATCTATAATGATAATAATCATCCTTTTATAATAATGGTGAATAGGAATTCACCTGAAAGAAGGGAAATTCTTTCCCCACTTGATAAATGATCAAAGGATATGAACAGGCAGTTCTCAGATGAAAAAATTAAAGTCATCTATAGTCATATGAAAAAATGGTCTAAATCACTATTGATTAGGAAAATGCAAATCAAAACAACTCTGAGGTACCATCACACCTCCCAGATTGGCTAAGATGACAAAACAGGAAAATAATAGATATTAGAGAAGATGTGGGAAAATTGGAACACTAATACATTGTTGGTGAAGTTGTGAAATGGTCCAACCATTTTGGAGAGCAATTTGGAATTATGCCCAAAGGGTTATAAAAATGTGCATACCCTTTGACTCAGTAATAGCACGTCTAGGGTTATATTCCAAAGACATCATAAAAATGGGAAAAGGACCCACATGTACAAAATATTTATAGCAGCTCTTTTTATGGTGGCAAAGAATTGGAAATTGAGGCAATGCCCATTAACTGGGGAATGGCTGAACAAGTTGTGGTATATGAATGTAATGGAATACTATTATTCCGTAAGAAATGATGAGCAAGCAGACTTCAGAAAAACCTGGAAAGACTTGTATGGACTGATGCTGAATGAAGTGAGCAGAACCAGGAGAATGTTGTACATAGTAACAGCCATGTTGTGTAATGACTAACGTTGGTAGATTTAGCCCTTCTCAGCAATGCAAGGATCTAAGACATCTCCAAAGGTCTCATGATGGAAAATGCTCCCTACATCCAGAGAAAGAACTGCAGAGTTTGAATGCAGATCGAAGCATACTATTTGCTCTTCTTTTTCTTCTGTTTTATTTTGTTTCCTCTTTCTTGTGGTTCGTCCTATTGATTCTAATTCTTCCTTACAACATCACTAATGTGAAAATGTTTAATAGGAATGTATATGTATAGTCTATATCAGATTGTGTGCCATCTTGGGGAGGGAGATGGAGAAAAACTTAAAACTCAACAGCTTATGAAAATGATTGTTGATAATTCAAAATAAATTAATGAAAAAAGTGAAAAAAAAAGAAGGGGAATCCTTTAGCTGATAGGTGGGAGGAGGGCAGTTCTTTATCTAACTCTCACAAGAGGTGGTAGTCTTCCAGTAAGGGGCCAACATTTTGTACTGTCTTTCAATGGAGTTACCAGGAATGGTGAAGTTCTGACTAGTGGGCAGAGAACGCTGATTAGTTAGTGGTAAAGGATGAGTCCTGGTATCAATTTGAGCCCTTTGACATGTAGCATTAGAAAGGCCTTTGTCTTTTTACCTTGATACAGATGACCTGCACCTGTGATGGAGACTAGCTGTGGAAGGAGTTCAGTGGACATGATGCTCCTAGTGCTGTACCTGGCCATCTTGGTTGTGTTTATGTCAGAAGACTTCATCTGGACTGCTCCTGACATTACTTCCACTGTACGAATAATACTTTTAGGAAGATTATATTGTTTTATGTTTTTAGTTTTTATATTAATCTTCTCCTCCAGTACTATTTAGTTTATACTGTTTTAAGATTATTTTAGTTGTCCAAAGCTCCCTAGAAAATTTGGGGGAATCTTGCAACCAAGAGATGGAATATATTAGGAAAGGTGCCTATTTTATGCAAATTTCCCAATCCCCAAGTATCCTACGTCAATGGGAGCTAAGAATACACGCGTCCTGAGAGATGCTGGAGTGCCAGTAGTGACTAGAGTGAGGTAGGATAAGCCTATGTAGATAAATTAATTTCACATTAAGTTAAAATTTGGGTACATGATTGAGGAAGGCAGAAGATGTGGTTCAGAAGAGGGACAACAAGACTATGCCATGTTGTGTAATACCATGTGTCAAGGCTTAGGTTAGGTGGGTCTTGTAGGGGGCTAAGAGGGGACTCTAGAAGCCATTACATTCATTCTCTAGGTGAGTTGAGACCTCTTCCATAATGAGAGTTGTCAGGGAATGGAATTGCAACATTTCCATAGCTGAGGCCATCCTTCTTATCTGGAAGGGAGTGAACTTGATAATTATAATGCCTATTTACACAGTGATTTAAAGTTTACAGAGTACCTTTTCCATATCTACTCCATAAGGTAGGCAGTGCATATCTTATTGTCCCCATTTTACAGATAGGAAAACTGAGACCCGGAGAGAAGTAATTTGCCCAAAATCATACTGCTAGAAATTATCAGAGCTTAGAACACAAACCATTCCAGGTCTAGCATTCTTTCTTTACTTTTTGATGTTTTATTAATTCCTGTTTCTTTTTACCTCATCATTGCTTCCTGCTGACTTCTCTGTATTCTGAACCAGCCCTAACCCGTGCCAGTCCAGTGATTCAGGCTAATGGTTAGAATGCAGTGAGACAGATATGGACCACAACATGCAATAAAAAATGACTTTACAAATAAAGGATAAAAAGGATGTAATTCCTAAGGTTTAAAAGATAATGCTAAAGATAAATTAGCTACTGTCTTCCACCCTGCATTAATGACAGCAATTGGCCAACCTAGGTCAGAAAAGATTCCTACTGGGCAGTGGGGATTCCACTAAAACCTCTGACATCAATTTTCCGTAGGTTAGGCCTTTTATGCCTCAGGCATCAAGGAATTCAAACTAATACTGATCATCAGAATGGCTTTTTGCAAATGTTCAAATGCTAGAAAAATGAGAGTTTTTTTTACTTTTTAAATTTTTTAGATTCTGAACTCAAGAAATAAAACAAGCATTTCTATAACATAGTAGAAAAAAAGACGATTGTGCATGAAACTACAAATCTGTTATGTGCAACTTGCTATTCCTTTTAAATACATAATAAAGTTATGTAACTTTTTCCCCCTTTTTTCTCTCTCCTCCACCCTAGAGATGGCTACCATTAGACACATATGTATACGTATATATTAGACACACATATGTATATCTATCTATATATGTGTATATGTATACACACATGTGTATATATGAATGTGTGTGAATATATATGAATATTAAAATATATGTGCTTAATTAATAAATGTGCTTAATTAACAAGGTGCCTGGCACCTAGTAGGTGCTTAATACACGCTTGTGGACTGACTATCGACTCATGGATTGACCAGTTCTACAGTGAACCTAGGACTAGATTTTTTGTTTGGTTATTTTTCTTTCCCCAAGTCTGACCGTCCCTGGACTTCAGAATGAGAAAATCAGGCATAAAACAGTTCGGGGTTACCCTGGCCCTTTGTTCATCTAGAAACTTTTCTTATAATATTGTCTATTTATTTGAGAAGTGTTTATACAATGTAATCTCTGAGGTTAAGCCAAGTGTGAGTCTCTAGGGGTCCCAGCTGTCCTCAACCCCTGAAGGTCCCCTAGTCGCCACTTGCCCCCAAAACAGCAAGAAAATCCAGGGATTCTGCAGAACAGTCCAGGCCTGGCACGTCCTAAGGGTGGTAGGGAGGTGGCCTTATGGGAAGTAAAGGCCTTGAGGTTCAGCACAGACCTCTCTTAGCATAGGCCTTCTCTTTTTCTGCAGCACAAGCAGTGAGCATGGTGAAATTCCCTCATTGCTGCCTGTGAGTCACTCACTGAATCCACGGATCAGCACAGTGGAGGACATGGGCCTGCTGACAGGGAGAGGAGACCTGGGCCAAGTTCTTGAGGCACTCACCCAGTCCCCAGCAGAGGGATGACATTTCCACTGCGTGGAGAGCCAAAATCAATGACAAGAGAGAGGATGGAGGTTAGTAAATTCTCATTAAGGTAGAGAAGGGCAGCATCAGAAGAAGCGACTGAAGGGGAATATGGTATCTCTTTTCTTGGGGGTCTCTTTTTTAGCACAGGAGAAAAGCCCATGCATATTGAGCTGGGGGAAGGGCTGCTCAGTGTGATGTAATGCACAGGACTTGGTGTGGAGAAAGACATGGTCTGGAATCCTACCAGAAATCCTTACTAGCTGTGTGACCATTGACAACCTTTCTGGGCCTCAGTTTCCCTAGCTGAAAAATGGAGGTAGTCATACCTATGCACCTGACGAAGATGTTGGGGGAACCAGATGTTTATTAAATGTTTTGTAAATAATAGCACATAGACTGCTTCTATTTTTGTTTTTTTAAACAGTCTTTTATTATATATTTTATTTTATTAATTATAAAATGAAAGGGTTGGGCAGTCTCTGAAGCCCCTTTCAGCTCTAGGGCTTTCATCCTATGAAGGCTGTGATATTGGTGGGCTATTCTCATTTTATAGATGAAGAAACAGACTCAGAGGTGAAGTGACTTTCCTATGATTACACAGCTAGCAAGCATGTATCTGTGAAGGGATTCCATTCTGGTCTCCTACTCCGGGGTCAGTGACATATTTTTTCCCCTATGATCCCTACTCTGAAGGGGATAGAATTTATTGAATATGGCAGGATGAAGGAAAAGGAGAGAGAAGGAGTTAATTGGGTTCCTCCAGGTCTTCTGGTGATGGTACTCAGGGTCCCATTTCCTGGGATAAGACTCTAGTGTTCTTTCCATAACACCATACTGCCTTAAAATATCATATTGTTAACTATTATTCTAGTTCAGTACATTGGCAAGGGCAAATCAGTTCAATTTAAATCAACAATGCCAACAAGAAACGTCTTGGATGCTGCTGCTTCTTTTTTTAATTGAACATCCATCTTCTTTTATTAATGGTTAGGCCTAAGTTACTAGCTATGTCACCCTGGGCTGCATCTTAAATTCTTTTACTCTTTAGTATACATTATTTCTTTTCTTCTAGCAATTTCTGATGGCTTCAAGATAGACTTGTTTCATTCAAATTTTCTTTCCTTTGTGTTTGAAAATCTTTCTGAATTTGTTTTTTGTCATTGAAATCATTAAATTTAACTGCATGTGTCTTGGAATTTGCAGCATAGGGTTTTTTCCCCTCCTTTTTCTTTCTAGAGACAACCTGTCAATTACTTTGATTGACACTTTGTTTTCTGCTTTTAGAAGTTCTAGACGGGGTGGGGAACCTGTACTTCTTGTTTTAGACTGTCCTTTAGTTCTGCTTATTTCCATTCCTAATCAGTTGTTTCCTCTTCTTTTCCCCCTTTGGTGAAGTTTACCTTCCTAGGCCAAGTTTTTCTATTCTGACCATTATTTCTGCTATGCAGACCATAAATTCTTTCACAATTTTAATTTCACCTTCAAACTATTCAGAAACATTATTTTGCAGTTCCATGATCTTTTGAGAATACAAGGTTTTCTGCCTCATCAGATAATGACTCAATTTCCTTTGTCTTATAACATTTATTCATAGATGTCTGGATTACTTTAGATAATCTGGAGGACATATGTCTTTTTAGTTTTAATATCTTCCCTATTACTTTATCTGCCTGTCCTTAAGGTCTCTGAATTTTCATTCTCTTGAAGTCTTTAGTAACTTCACACTTTCCCCCTTAAATTCCCCTATTGCTCATTTTCTGACCCCTTCCTCCCTTTTGATGGAGGTTACCCTAAGGGAATGTATCTTAAAGCTGTCTTAGCTTAGTGGGAGGCCACACTGGGGAATTTATGTTTGTCCAGGCTTGGCCTCTGGCTAAGTAATTTCTGGGAACACAGCTGGATACTGGGCTTCAGGCTTACTAGGCCATCACACATCCCACCCCAGTTCTTTCTGTTCCTTTCTTCTTTGGCTATGCTTATGCCTTTTAATTTTCTGTGGCACTGGGAAGAGGTGGGTGGGTAGGTGAAGAAAGTTCAGTTCTGTTATAAGACCATGTGTTGGCTTGTACAGCCCTGACAGAGTGTGGAGGCTGGTGGGAGAGGAGGTGCTGAGGGAGCAAGTTAAGGATTAGGTTTTCACCTTCTATGCTTTTAGTCACCTCATTAGGGTTCTTGGTTTCTTAGCCAGTGGAAATAGTCAAAGTTGCTTTATTTCTCATGCATAATTCCTAGTTTGGAGAGGTTTAAGAGGTTGAAAGGATCAGAGGATGAATCTGGTCCAGGGGTGGGGAACCTGTAGCTTTGAGAACACATGTGGCCTTCTAGGTCCTTTTAGGTCCCTGGCTGCAGCTTTTTGACTGAGTCCATGTTTTACAAAACAAATCCTTTTATTAAGGGGATTTGTTCTGGAAGTTTGGATTTAGTCAAAGGGTCGAAATGGGGTTAGGTGACTTGCCCAGGATCATACAGCTAGTAAGTGTTATGTGTCTGAGGCCTGATTTGAGCTCAGGTCCTGCTGAATCCAGGGCTGGTGCTCTATCCACTGCGCCACCTAGCTGTCCCTGAAATCCTCTTTCTTAATAGTCCTGTGACCTCTTTCTACCTTTTATATTTTCATTTCCTTTTTGCTCCAGTATGCCTAGGGCCCTAAGAAGGATTAGGAGACTAATAATTACCTTGGAATTTGGTATTCAGTTCCTGATCAGAGGTAATTGTGATATTGACTAGTCTGGAGAGAGCCAGACTTGAAACCAGTCAGGGATTAAGGGGCAGATATGCATTTATTAAATATCTAGGGTCAATTTAGAAAGCTTAGAACTATCCAGTTCACTTGGGCTGATAACTTTTTCTCACCATTATTTATTATGTTCTTTCTGTTATCTAGGAATTTGCAGTACTATAATTTCTATCCCTGTAGTCACACGGCTGGTAATTTGCATAGCTGAGATTTGAACCCAGGACCTTTGACTCTCAAGTCAGTGCTCATTCTGGGGTTCTTAACTTAGCATTTGTGGACCTCAGAGGAGTTCATTGATATATTTCTGGGGACCTGTGAATTTGGATGAGAAAAAAAAATCTGTTTACACTAATCTCTAATGAAATTGAAATTTCCTCCAGTTATGAATTTTAAAAATCCCATTAATTTGAGAAGAGGTGCATACGTTTTACCAGACTTCCAAAAGGGTCCATGACACAAAAAATGGCTAAGATGGATTTGAAGTCCCCCCTTTTGTTTGTGAGACTAAAATGAGACTATATATACATATATATTACACACACACATACACACACACATATAACTTTGTAAACCCTTGTCGATTGTTGTTATTATAAATGTAGTCTTATTCAAATGGGGAGATGGATAAGTGGCGTTCGGATGTCCCTCTCTATCCAAAGATGATGAAAGTCATTGAGGGAGAAAATATTCCGATTCAAAAGTAAAGAATGTGAGAATCCTTTTAAAATGTCAATTAATTTCATAAAATAGTGTAGGAGATCCCTGATCAAATGGATGAGTTTATGTGCCTTTGTGTGGGACTTTGTTTGCATCTCATTGATTTGGAATTGGCTCAGATTATTTTGAGACCAAGCTGCCCCTTCATGTGGGGACTATAATAGAGATTCTTCATTGTAGACTTGGCTCTTTTTGGCCCTTTTCTCCTCTAGAACAATCTTGAGAGATCAGCAAAGTTAAGATTGGACCTGGGTCCTAGGTGCACGTGCATAGCATCTCCCTCTGCCCCAAACCCCCCAACTACCTGAGATCCTTCACCCCCACCACCATCGGAGTTGCATTGGGGTAGAGAGTCTTTGCAGTTACATGGTGTTTTCACCTATTTGACCCAAAAGAAGAATTCTTGACGTCTAATACATATTAGAGGAAGTAGAGATAGAGGTAAAAAGGGCAGAGGAAAAAAGATTTCCTGGGCAATACTGAGTTGCTGGAGAATTCCTGAACTCTAGCCTATGAGACAGGGGAGGGGCTCTTTTCTGGATAGTGCCAGGCTATTGGAGAGAAGAGATTCTATAACCTAGTATTCTAGAAAGAGAAAGAGGAGTTCCTGACTAGTTTCAGCCTCAGGGTCACTTCTCTAGCAGCCCCAGGTTTCAGAGTCTCAGGAAAAATTCTTGGAGAAGACAGTAGCTTAATCTCCCAAGAGTTGACTGAAATGGGGAGTGAGAAAGGGAGAAAAAAGGGCAGGTTCTACGACAAAGATTTCCTCTTATAGGCCCGGTAGGATGGGATGGCTCTGCTCTACCGAAATATGAGTCAAGCAGTTCATCACTGCAGAAGCAAACCAATTAATCCCTCCCCAAATAATGAGATATAAGCAATGCTCCCAAAGTCTCACCACCCAGTAAGCTTGTTAAATTTCTACTCTAACTGGTATGCTGTGATTTTTCTTGCCCTATTGTTTATGCTTCGCCCCTCCCTGCTCCCTCCCTGATTGACATCTACATAAAGTTGCCATGGCTGTCCATTCCTTACATAGGTTTGGCTTGATGGAACTGTATTGTAATGAGCAGTTTGCCTAAAGGAGTGGTGTCAGTTGATGAAGAATTAGATAATGGGCCTGATAAAGGAGATGAGCTGAAAGTGGCAGGTTTTGGGTTACTTGGACCATGTGGGTTCCAAGAGGGACAGGTGCTGGGCTGGTGTCAGGGGATACTCATCACCAACCTGAACCCTAAAGGCAGGATAGAAGAATACCAGCTTTGTGAAAATGTGACCTGTTAGCAAATGGGACTTCTCAGATGATTTTGGAGCTTATCATTGGCGTTGTGTTCCCAAACACCAGTGTAACCTCAAACAAAGCTAACCTCTATATTTCAACAGATTTCTATTCAAGTGATTTTTTAAAAAAATATTTATCTATTTATCTGTCTAACTATCTATATATCTTTCTATCTATCTGTCTACCTATTTCTTTTTTATGGGTACCTGGCTGTACCTGTACCTGGCTCAAGGGAATGCTTTCTTTCTCTCTTTTTCTCTCTGGGAGAGTGGAACCCCAGAAGAAGCCAGGGTAAAGGCTAGTGG